GCAGCTATCAATGCCTTGCATTGATAGTAAATACCACAATATAGAGCCTAATTTTCACATTCTTTATGCTTTGTCTGTATTTTTTAAAAATTTCTTATGCCTAATTATAATGTATCGAACTTTCATTTTATACTTTGTATGCTTCTTTGCTATAGAATTTTTTTCTTCTATTATATCATTGATCATTCGCTCCCCCAATAAACTAAAATCCCGGGTCCGTCATTAGGTTTATGTAGCATGAACTAAGTAGCAAGAATACTGAATCGAAGGAATCCCATGTATCTCAATTGTTTATGATGAAAATATTCTATAGTATGTGTTAACGAACTAACAGAGAGCAAGGGGTTTGAAGGTAACGAATGTGATGAAGTAGCTGGACCACATCTTATCAGAAAATCATTTAATTCACAAATGTCAGAATGGACAAGATCTATCAAGTTTGTGTTTCTTTTTGCCATGGGAAAGGAAGCCTCGTCATTTTTGCTTGTATGCATGTATCAACCACCGGTCTTAGGCTGGTGACCACCACCAAGCCTTTAAAGCTTTTGTGTCAAAAAATTCAAACGAGTGTGTTGTGCACTCGTCTGATCCGGAGATAGTTTTATTCTCATCGGTCCCCATAGGTTCAGTTGAGCCTCCCTTGTAGTTAGATTAGAATAGAGTAGAAGTAGGAATGACGATTGATAAAAAAAAAAAAAAAAAAAAGCGTGTATCAAACTTCTTTTGTCCATTGGTCAAATCATGAAGAACTATTACATTTAATTATTTTTCAAAAATCATACTATAACCCAAGTTAAACTATATAAGTAAGGTGTGTTATTGTACTTCAAACTAATAAAATGCACCATCTAACAAGTTTACGCATTCTGTTAGGATATGTTTTTTTTTTTTTTTAATTTCCGAATAGATGAATAATTTTTTTACTTTGAAAATTTTTTTTCAGCCCGTGTTTCTTATACTTAATTATTTGCTTCCCGTGCGTAGGCAAAGGTCCAAAGCTAGTTATATACTGTATTAAAAATAGAAGATGAAGAAGTTTGTGCGGCACAATATTAAGTGATTTGGAAATTGTAAAAGTTGGGAAATGAAGAAAGGGATTGCCAATGCAAGAAAAACGGAAAGAAAAATTGTAGCTGCAAATGGGTTCCGGCAAGAATTCTACACAAGCTGTCCTTACTTGTGATTTATGGCAATGATAGAAATTTTATATATGTTAATCTTATACCAATGATCAGCAATTCTTAATTTCTCGGTAGTTAGGACCAATGTTTTCAGAACCGGACCGGACCGGCCGGTTCGACCGGTTGGACAGCGAACCGGCCATGTCACCGGTCCGGTCTAATGCTAAAGCCGGAAGTTCATGGAGAACCGTTGAAACTCGGACGAACCGGACGAACCGTGCGAACCGTTAAGAACCGTGAACCGGCGATTTTTTAAATTCTTCAACAAAATATCAAGAATGGTGTAGCTAAGATTCGAACCTGGGTCTCCAAGTTTGGATATGACAATCTCACCGCTAGACTATAGTTAAGTTTGTTGAGAATTCTACTTGACTAAAAAATATATTAAAACATCAAGTTCTTCTCTTATTTTTTTTTCAATTTTTTCTTCTTAACCATTTTTAACCCAAATATCCACAACAAGATTTTCTCAAGTCTTCACCATTATTATCAGGTTATTATCTTTAGCAAATTGTAAACAAGTTGAAAATTTCAACTTTTCTTGTTTTCCAACATCTTAGTAAGTTTAATTTTTTTCTTTTCAAGGTTTTTTTTTCTATATTATTATCTTTAGTTGATTTTTTGCATTTTCTTCTTTTTCCCCTCAATTTTCATATGTTTCCCTCATTTTTGTTTTATTTTTATTCGATTAATTAAGGATGAAATTTTTGCAAAAGTAGTGCACATCCGTGTAGGAATTGGGTAGGAATTACAAATAATAACATTGGGCTGGTCAAAAATATGGTAGTTGGCACATAATCGAAGCTATTGATAATTGAATTTAAAATAATTAATGGTATAGGATCATTGAATTTAATATAACATGTTAATTAGTAATGTTTAGTAGCAATTAATTTTTTATGTGTTTAACTGTATATTTGTTTTTCAAAAATTTTTAGTTTTTTTTAGTTTGAGCAATTAGATTTATATTTTTATAATAAAATTTTAACTTTTTCAGCTTAAGTTGATGAAATTGTGAAGGTGGTATGGTTGCTTATCATGCCACTGATAAAAGTTTGCTATTCAAATAGTTTGTCTTAACTTGAACTCTTTTATGGATTTTTTTAAGGGTTGTAAAAGAATTTCAATATTTAATTTATTTATTTTTTGTGTTTTTATTTGTGATAATTGGTGAGCATTTGGATTGTATCTATCTATGTTTATAATGAATTTATGAAAACTTATGGTGAATTATGATATTTTAATTATATTTATCATTCCATATTTTATGTATAACTTTTAGAAAATTTATTATTATCATAACTTAAATTAAGTTATGTTGGTAAAGTTCAAGTGTAGAATGAAACCTGCTTAGTACTTAACACAAAAAAAAAAAAATGAACCTTTGAACCGGCCGGTTGGACTGGTCGGACCGGTCGAACCGCGAACCGGCCACCTCTCCGGTTCACTGACCGGTCCGAGTTTAAAAACATTGGTTAGGACCCTATTCGAAATTTAGGTTCCTTTTAAGTTATTGTTTCTTCCAAGTTTTATCATGCTAATTTTGTAAGGCGAAGCATTATTTTGTGCACTCATGTTACTGATTAATTTGTTGGGGGTTTTTTAGCGCGAAATAGACGACTACTGAGATATCAAGAATACAATAATTTAATAACAATTAAGTTACAAGCATAAAAGATGAATGGCACACAAGATTTAACATGGTTCGACTCTATCATTGAATCTATATCCATGAAGAGAAAATTTGATCTTTACTATGAAAGGAAAATTCTATACAAGAATATAATTTGAATCCAAATTCAACCTTTGTATACCATCTCTCATTTCGTAAGAACTCTTTCTCTCTCTCTCTCTCTCTCTCTCTCTCTCTCTCTCTCTCTCTCTCTCTCTCATTATGTATAAGGTTACATATTGCTTTTGTGTGTCACTTTGTAGTACACCAACCCATAACTATTTATAAACTACTTTACTTGGCCAACACTCAAATAATAATAGGAAATAATTGTTAATTTCTAATTTTATACATAATAGAAAATAACTTTTAATTGTTAAACTCATACGAATAGAAAATTCCTTCACTACTATTTCAAGTAACTAAAATCAATAAGGAAACAAGTTACTTCCACATAATATTTATATGAATATCTTTTCACAATAGAAGACAAAGATGACTGGTATTGTAGATTAATTGGATATCAATTTCTTTAATTGCTTTTTCTAGTATGTCATGGCTTTTGTACGCATAACTATAAAGTAACTCTTTAGCTTGTACTTAACGGAGATGCCTGCCATCTTTATGACTTTCAAGAAGCATGCTCCCTGTACCATTGTGATATGAAGTGACAATACATAGTTTCCATAAAATATTTTCTTTGTTCGTTGAATTATTCTTTTAACCAGTGGAATAGTATTAACTCACTTTGCACCCTCAAATTTGTATCACTTTTTCACTTTGCACTTTAAATTTCAAGTTCAAACATTTTGCACATAAACTCTCAATTTTAGATATTTTGCACTCTGAAGTCTCAAATTTGTCTCATTTAAATCCAATCATTGATAACCATAGCAAAATTAACAAGACAAAGAATTGTATATTAATGATAATGTATTATTTTGTTCTATCCGTTATCGATTGAATCCTTTTAATCACTTTCAACCCATTGTCATTGATTTGTTTAATTGCAATTATTAATATTTTGGATAGCAATAATATGTAAAAAAAAATTATTTACTTGCATCACAAATACATTTTTCAAGACATCTTTTTATCTTTCCAATCACTTTTTTTTCTCATATGCATCACATCACAAAAAATTTTACAATAATTATTTCAAAGAATCTCTTATTCAAACACAACCATTGTCAGCAAATTAATAAGATAATAGATAGTGTAAATTAATGAAAATATATTGTTTTATTCTAATTGCAATATTTTAGCTCATTTGACCACTTTTAGCACATTATCATTGATTTGTAAGATTCTATATGCCATTAATTTTGCCAATATTATCATTGATTGGACTTAAATGGAACAAATTTAAAAGTTTAGGGTACAGAGTGTATAAAATGGAGAATTTGAGGTGCAAAATATTTAAAATTGAAATTTGGAATACAAAGTAAAAAATTAATATAAATTCGGGAGTGTGAAGTAGAATTAGTCCAATGGAATTAATACAGAACGAAAATGCAAATCTTACAATCTAGTCCCGGGCAACAAAAGGTAAAAAACTCTTTAACTTTATGATAAAAAGTACGAGTTGTGTTTAACTTGAAAGGATTTGAGAAAATACAATCTAACAATGAGATGGGACACATTAATAACATGGTCAAGACATTCTTATTTGCACTCTCCACTCTGGAGAGCCAGAAAATGTGCAGAAAAATAAATATAATGCATAGAGATGACAAGAATCAATAAGAGAATTAACATGTTACTGATACCAGCTTTCGCACTACAACAAAAATGACCTTTTCTAACATGTCTATAAGGACATTTACTGGTTTATTTCATTATAGCATTTCTATTATGACATTTATTATCAACTTAATAATATATGCTCTAATTTTTTTTATTTTATCTGATATAAAAATAATAATGTATCTTTAGGCTCTCTATCATGACACTTGTGAAAATGTGGGATACATCAAGAAAAATTAAAACACAAAACGACGTGGTTTAATTTTGGCGGAAGATTCTTTGCCAAAACACTTAAGTGAAATCTCTTTTTTTTTTTCGAAACGATAGGATATTTTCATTGCTTTAATGAGAAAGAGTACATATACGAGCAACGGCTCGAGAGAAGCTATACAAAATGTGTTCTAAGAACACTGAGGAAATAGTCTTTCCTCATCAACAATAACGCCTAAGGCATCATCACTTAATTTTTTACTAATTAATATATGTTCTTGTCTACACAAGTCAAAAGAACACATGCAAAACAACCTCTTTAACTTAGAGATGTCTTCAAGTACTGTTGCCATCTTAATGTCCGCAGGGCTCTGCCGTTTGATTTGTCTCCACAGCTCTTTGTTACAAAACTTCAGTTTAACCTTGCTCCAGTTTCGATGCACAGCTTTGCACAAGGCCAGTTTCAGAGCTAGTGCATCATCTAGGACTTTGTTTCCCAGGCTGATCTCATTCATCATCCACCCTGTCATTCTATTTCTTGCATATTCCTTAACTGTGACTCCTATCCCTACATTATGCTGTCCTTTTTTCTTTGTTGTTTCTATCTCCATTATCACAGCTCTCTCGTTTGTATAGTTCTGATCTTGCAATTCTTGTCCAGGGACTGTTTCTTCTGTGCTCTTTCCAACTTTCGTGCCCTCTTCCTGCAGCTGTTCCATCCAATCCTTGTGTGCTCTTGCTATTGTTTTGAAAGGTGTTACTATATCTGATTTCTCGAATTCCCTCTTATTCCTTTCTTTCCACACCTGCCACAGGATATTAGCAGTTAAACCAATATGTTCCAACCCCTCTGGTCTATGCCTTGCTTCTGAAATCCTTAGCCACCATCGCTTGAAATTCCCTTGTTGATCCTTTGCCCCATCCCACTGAATAGGAGCTGCCTTCCAAATGTTCATCGCATGAGGGCAGGTCAACAGGAGGCGTTCTACTGTTTCCTGTGCAGTTCCACAAGTTGTGCAAGTAGGATCACCCTGGCCCATTCTCCTCCTCACAGCTTCCTTCACTGGCAGAGCTCCTTGAATGCATTTCCAAATGAAGAACTTGATCTTGTGCTTAATATTTAGACTCCACAGAGTGTTCCACATTTGAATAACTTGAGGGCTACCTTTTGCATAACTGGAACTTGCTCCATCAGGGTTGCCCGTTTTTCTTTTTCTGTTTTGCTTCATCAGGAGATTGTAGCCCGAGTTGACAGTGTATTGCCCTCCCGCCTTTGGTTGCCAATAAAAGCTATCCTCCCTCTCTGAAAGACTCAAAGGAATAGCTAGAATTTTGTGCGCATCATGTCTGTTAAAATTTCTGAAGATGATATTCCTATTCCATCTTTGGTGACTTATGAGCTCTTCCACCTTTTCCAGCCCACAAATGCTCCTACGACTTGTAGTCGGCCTACCTGTAGTTGTATCTGGAATCCACTTATGTTCCCAGATGCTTGTACTACGCCCATTCCCTATCCTCCTAATCAGTCCTTCATTGAGTAGGCTTCTTGCTCCCATTAAGCCTTGCCAAATCCAGGATGCATTTTTGGTGGGACTGCAATGTAAGATGAATTCCTTTGAAAAATATTTAGCTTTTAACACTTTGGTCACCAACAGATTTGGTCTAGTAATTAATCTCCATACTTGCTTTCCTAGCAGGGGTTGATTGAAAGCTTCAAGATCCTTGAATCCTAGGCCTCCTGCCTTTTTTTCCAAAGCCATTCTTTCCCAAGAAATCCAGTGTATTTTGTTCTTGCCATTAGATTCTCCCCACCACAATTTGGCCATCAGTGAACAGACATCTTTACACAATCTTCTTGGTAGCTTAAAGCATGACATAACGTACGTAGGCATAGCCATTGCGACTGCCTTCAACAATACTTCTTTACCTGCTGGACTCAAAAATCTGTTTTTCCAGTTCTGGAACCTTTTCCTTATATTGTCCCTTACGAAGCCAAAAATCTGTTCTTTAGTTCTTGAGACAACCATTGGGAGCCCCAGATATTTGCCTTGTGTTGCCTCTATCATTCCTCCAAGAGCTTGACAGATTTCTCCCTTCTTCTCGCTGACCATGTTTTTGCTAAAGAACATTGCAGATTTGTCCAAATTGACCAACTGCCCTGAGGAGTTTTCATATGCTTTCAAGACTTTCATAATCTCTCCTGCCACTCCCTTATTCGCTTTACAAAAGATGATAGAATCATCAGCAAAAAAAAGGTGAGTAAGAACTGGACCTTGCCTGTTGATCTTTAGACCTTCAATTCTTTTGCTCTCCTCAGCTCTTCTCAACAGATTAGAAAAGCCTTCTGAACAGATTAAAAACAGGTAAGGGGACAAAGGGTCCCCCTGCCTGATTCCCCTCTCTGGGGACACAAAACCTTTGACCTCCCCGTTACAATTGAATGAGTAACTCACTGTCTTCAGGCAGCTATGGATCTAGTTAATCCACGTAGCACAGAATCCCATTTGTTCCATCATAGCAAGCAGAAAATGCCACTCCACCCTATCGTAAGCCTTTGCCATGTCCAATTTGATTGCCATGTAGCCTTCTTTCCCCTGTCTTTTGCTTTTTAAGGTAATGCATATACTCATGAGCAATAATCACATTATCCAAAATTTGTCTATCAGGGATAAAGGCAGATTGAGTTTTGCTTATGCAGGTATCCAGAACAGTCTTCAGTCTATTGGCCAAGATTTTGGATATGATTTTGTAGATCACACTGCATAGACTGATAGGCCTGTAATTTTTCAAATTGATTGGATGCAGAGTTTTGGGAATGAGAGATATGACAGTATGGTTCACAGATTTAAGCATGTGACCTGAGTGAAAAAAAAGTTTTGACTGCTGGGATGATATCATTCTTAATAGAGCTCCAGAATTTCTGAAAAAACATTGGAGTCATTCCATCATGACCTGGTGCTTTTTCTGGATTCATAGAGAACAGTGCCTCATGGATTTCGTCCTCAAGGACTTCCTTGATCAGATTAGCATTCATCTCCTGAGTGATTGAGTGTGGAATACCAGATAAAATTTCTGTCATTTCATCTCTCCCTCCACTCGTGAACAGCTTCTTAAAATAGTCAGCAATTTCAGTCACTACTTCATCCTCATTATTAGTCCAAGACCCATCCTCTCTTTGTATTTTGCTCAAATTATTACTCACTCTCCTCCCCTTGACGTAAGAGTGAAAATACTTAGTATTTTTATCCCCTTCCCGCAGCCAACTGATTCTAGCCTTTTGACTCCAAAAAATTTCTTCCTCCTTATAAGCTTCGGCCAGCTGCTTCTTAATTTCCTTTAACTCCCCGTTTCTTTTATCTAAACCTGAGTTCCTAACTCTGTCCAGTTCTTGCTTAAGATCATTTATTTTGCTCCTAGAGTTAGACTGGACTTCATTTCTCCACTTCAAAAGCTCGATTCTGCAATTTTTAATCTTCCTAGTTACTCTGAACATTTTTTACCCATGTTCCTCCTTGTTCCAAGCCTGCTCCACCACTTTCTGAATCCCCTCTTTGTGGAGCCATCTCTTATCAAAATAGAACCTCTTCTTCTTCCTTCCCATCCCTGGATTAGTATCTAGTAAAAGTATAGAGTGATCGGACGCAAGGGTATCAATGTGTTGACACTTTGCCCTCTCAAACTCTTGAAACCACTCCACACTTCCAAGACATCTATCAAGCCTTTGTCGGACTTCACCTTCGTTATCCCAGTGGTTACTCCACGTCCAAGGGTGACCATCAAACCCTATATCCACTAATCTATTACAGTCTATGAAATCTCTAAAGTCCCTAAAACTCCTCTCCTCCCTATACGCTCCCCCCCCCCACTTTTCATCATTGGACAAAATATCATTAAAGTCACCTGTGATTAAGAATCTGGATACCCACAATCTGCTCCTATCAGTTAACACTCTCCATTGTTCCTTCCTAATTCTCTGGTCACAACTAGCATAAACTCCAATAAACCACCAAGTAGCCTGAGAGCCATTATCTTCCAATTTGGCTTCTATAGTGAAAGCTGTAGTGTTTACCTCAACAATTTGTGTTTCCTTAGTCCAGAACAAAGCCATTCCACCTGCCCTATTCATAGCTTCCACTGTCACATTATGATCCAACCTTAGATTTCTAGCTATTCTATCTATCACATTCTTCCTATTCTTAGTCTCGCTTAAGAAAATCAGACAAACTGGTGAAATTTTGCCTCCTCGTGAAATCTCAAAACTTCATTTTGCCTCCTCGTGAAATTTTGCTTCTTCTTATCTCTCTCACAAACTCTCTCTCTCTCTCTCTCGGCAAACTCTCTCTCAAAACTCTTGGCCAAAATTCTGCGGATTTTGCTTTCCCCGCAGAATTTTCTTACAAATTTATGCCCTCCGTCTCTCTCGGCCACTCTCCTGTCCTCTGCCTTACTGAATAATGCAGAAGCTAGGGGAAGCCCTGGCCGATCTCCCCAACATTTCTAATTTCCAAACTGGTGTCCATCGAAAATTAGGGCTCTAAGTCTGAGAGAGGCCTTAGATTTAGGGCGGTATTCGCAGCATCTGCACTTATTCTTTCTTGGATTTCAGCGATCAGCGGCAAATGTCGCCTCCCCCTGGACCCTACTCCGGCACCAGCACTCTCGTCTTGGTAAACCATCCGCTAATTTTTCTCTAATTTCATTTTGTTTACTTTTGTCTGATTTTGAGTTCTTTTTGGGTAATTATTTTATGTCAATTGGTGATTTGGGGGTTGAGGGTGGATGTTGGGGTTGAGGGTTTTGGGAAGGAGAAGGTAAAGAAGGTAGAGGAGGTGATGTGGTTGTGGAAGGGAGTGAAGAGGTGGAGGTGGTGGCGGTGATGGGTGGTGGAAGAGCGGCGGATGATGAGGCGGTGGAAGCTGTGGTTGTTGGCATAGGAGGAGAGGATGATGGTATCTGAAAAAAGATTCCAAAGTAGAAGATAGTATTGATGCTGTAAAAGATTCCAAAGTGCACACGACTAAGACAACGTCGGTCTTTAGTGGTAGTTTGTTAATGTTATCCTGATGAGTGACGAGAAGCCATTGGGAAGTCTGCATCTATATTATGTACTCCTAACATCTAGCAGCGGACAAGGTATTTTTCTATTCGTGTCAGCGATAATCTATAGGCTTAAAAGAAGAATTAAAGCCAATATATGAAAGGTCTTCCTACAATGATGATGCATGACAATGATATGATCACAAATTAAATTTGTTATCAAATCGAAGTGGATAAGAAATGTAGGGAAAGAATGTTGCAATTGAGACAATGTTTGACAGAGAGAAGGCATTAAAATAAAGAAAGAGATAGGCCTCTGTTATCAAGGCAAGGACTCTTTTGTAGTCTTGTTAAGTGGCTATTTGTACAAGTGTTACTAAGGTATTGGTAGACTCTTGGATATTTTTCCTTTAGTTATGGAAGGGGTAGTTATCAAAACCTGCTTCGATCATTTTGTGACAGCTTCAATTCAACTGATTGCTGCTACCATTGGAACTTGTTAATTTAATTTATTAGCCAGCCAAAGTCAGGAGTTGGCTAATAAATTGGTTGTAAGTTTTGTTATGTGTTTGGTATGCACAAAAGTCCGCTGCTAAAATCACAGCAGATGGAGACAGAGAGAGAGAGAGAGGATTATACATATACATATATCTTTCTTGCTTATAATGTAAGTTTAATAATACCTAAAGGATGATCAAACCTAAAGCTGAAGGAGTTGTTAGAAACCTTAAAGAGAGATTTCTGAAATTATCTCTAAAATGGAAGATAAACTAACCGTGTTGGATTTGTCAAGAAAGCATGAGAATTGATTTCAATGTCAAGTTGCAATATTTGAGCGATATACTCTATTTGTTTTCATATGTTAGTCATGAATTATAATTAATTACTTGCATTCAGTTCCTTAATGTTAGATCAGAACCAAAAAAATATGTGATGTTTTCCGATAGGGAAACATTTTGTAATGTGTGATGTTTTCTGAATCAGGTGAGGAAGGTGGATATGCTTGAAGAAGTCACTATTATCTGGTCTGAGAAGGTTAAGGACGAATTGGTGTTGGATGGCAATGACATTGAGCTTGTTTCCCGATCTGCTGCCCTGATAAACCAAGTAAGAGACACTCTGTGCCATATTTATGATATTTGAATCTACAAGTTTTGTTCCTTGTCACTTGTCTTTAAAATGTAGTTCATCTGGCTGAATAGCTAATGTACAACCTTTTCTTATTGTGGACAGAAATGCCATGTGATAAACAAAGATATTCGGAAGTTCCTTGATGGTATCTATGTCAGTAGAAGGGGCAAATAGTCGAGGAGGAGTGAGAGTTAGTGGCCTACATTTCTTGATCGTTTTCTTGGATTGATTTCCTTTTATCATATCAAGATGCTTGTGGGGATTTCTTAGAGATGACTTCTATTTTGAACTTAAAATAGAAGTCATGTTTTTTGGAGTATATATGCTTGCTTTTAGTGGTCTACTTTAGTGTTTTCTTATCTGTATTTAGAATGTATCAGCAGTGTTTTCAACCACTTGCTTGACGATAGCCCATTGCCTGCTAACAGGCTTCTTCATCAGTGCTTGTTGCAACCTTTTCCAGTACACACTCACTAAATGGAAAAAGATCTACAGGAGGTGGAAAGCTGAGTCGAAATAGTGAAGTAGAGAAGGGGCTGTTGACGCTAATTTCCTCATATGCTCCTGGACTTCAGGTGTTGTAACCTATATTTGGACTTTTTTTTTTAATGATTAGTAGGTAGGTTGCAACAATATATACTAATTTCCTGGATTCCTTTTTAACTGCTTATACATTTTTTCTACATTTCAACTAGATCATTTTTGGAATTGTAATGCTTCAACACTTTGTTTTTCTTGATTAATTATCCACCAGTTCTTTCCTATTATTTCCAGGTTTGTGACCCCAATGGCCGCTGGTACCTGGCTGATAGTGGCTTTGTTCTTAGGGACCTTTTATTTCTCACAGGCAAGGCTCTCATCCATGCTACAGCTGGTTTGAGGCCTGCGGTTTCACATTGTTCTAGTGGCGGAAGGTAGATATTGGTGCTTAAGTGTAATTTGATAGTTGCCCAAGAATGTCATAAGTTGAAGAAATTTCTCAACTGATCAGTACACTTTGCCCTGCAGGACATCTCTCGTCTTTAGGCTCATGCCACAAGGCAATGCAATACGTGATTGTTCACCAATTGCAGCAGCTGGTCATGTCATTCCTCAGAGTTATGTGCCAATCTCTGTAACCCAGTTTATGGATGCTATAATAGTACTTGTTATGTGCCAATCTTTGTAACCCAGTTTATGGGTGCTATAATAGTACTTGTTATGTGCCAATCTCTGTAACCCAGTTTCGATTAGCTATGTTAGTACTTGTTACTGACTTTTAGTTCAATAAATAATATTTGAGCATTAGCTTTTGCTTTTGCTTTTAAATTACGACAATATTCTATTATTTGGGATAATTTTACAAGTCCTTTGGGTATCTAGCAGAAAGCACAATCAGGTTGCTTCTTTATTTAAAAAAAAAAAAAAAAAAAAACTCCGGGCAGTTAAAAGTGTCAGCATAGCTCAACAACTTCAACAATATTCTGATACTTTCCATTGTTAAGAAAATGGATTTTTGTTGGCAGATGAGATGCTATAATAGCATAGTTTTCCTAACACCTTGAATAGTATGAACCTATCCCCGCATTGGAAGGGACAACACTTGTCCGAGGTGTGAGGAAAAGTAAAGTGTCAGTTTAAATTATTTTTACTGACACTTTTAAATGCCGTTAAAGGTCATTTTTGTTGTAGTGTCGGCGGTAAATTTTATGGTTTGCCAAAACCAAGCTACACTTCTGCAACTGCTAATCGTATTGATCGAATAATGCAAGTTGCAAGTCAACCGTGGAAGTCCCTGTGAAGTATCATTGGTACATTTGAAGACTATTCGTCAGAATGTACAGGTAAACATGTGTGTTTGGATTGCAAATTTATATCAAATAATATTTTATCTGCATCATAAACACATTTTTCAATCCATCTTTTTCTATTTTTAATTACTTTTTATCTCACATATATCACATCACAAAAAGTGCTACAGTAATTATTTCAAATAATATTTCAAATATTACTCTATCCAAACAATTTAGTAGGCCAAATTCAGTAAAAATTCTGGATACCATTACTAGCAAAAGGATCATACTAGGTCATTTCCCAGCAAAGAATTCTGGATACCATTATTTAGGTCGTTTCCTCCAGCCTTGAAAAACCTACAACCCATCAAAATGGTGATCTTGCTTGAATTTCTTTATCTTGTAGTTATTCTCATAGTGTGACACTAACTTTCTTTGTTGAGAAAGGGCTTGCCACAATGGTAACAATATTAGACTCCTTGTTAGGATAGTGCAAATAAAACAACAAACATAATTTAAAACTTCATCACAATGCAAAGTATCTATAGATCTTGTCCGTGGAAACACACGTCATAGAAATCATGTCTTTAATGACACATTCCGCTAATAAAACAGCTTTGTAGCTGGTCCAAACTAGACGGTTTGTTAGGCTGCTTAATGCCAATGCAACTTTGATGTCAAAGCAGCAACTCCATAACTGAAAGAGAAAATGGCAAAAACAGTAATTCAGCTATTTAGAATTCCGTAGCTTGATCACTAAACTTTTTATTTAGTTAAAATTGTCATTCAACTAACAAAATAGTGCATTTTTTGTCACTCAACTGATAAAACTTTATTTTGCTCACTCGAATAATGAAAATATACACTTTTATTTTTATAACAAGAAGTTGTTTTAGTCACTTGAATGACCATTTTGGCTAAATAAAAGTTGATTCATGACTAAACCAAGGAATTATAAATAGTTTCGTGACAGATTATACCATAATGTGATTGATAGAATTTGAAATGATCAGAAATCAGTTGTACATAATGTGAAAAAAGGGTTTTGGTTGAAGAGGAAAATACAGAGCAAAAGAAGGTTGTTCATGAAGATTTTTTTTTTAAACTTTTAAAACTATGACAGTTGTAAAATAATTTTGTGGAAGTAAAGGAGAAAAGACAGAAAAGAAAGGCAAAATTCGAAAAT